GCTGAGGAAGGGGGTTGAGTACACGTGGGGGGAGAAAGAGCAAGCTGCCTTCTCGGCCCTCAAAAATCTATTGTGCTCCCCGCCCGTCCTTCACATTGCAGATCCCCACCGTCCATTCGAGCTCGTCACCGACGCAAGTGACGTCGCTGTGGGAGCAGTACTGTTGCAGGACTTCGGGAACGGCCTCCAGCCAATCGCGTACGAGTCCCGCAAACTACACCCGCCCGAACGTAACTACCCGATACACGACCGCGAGATGCTAGCGATCGTGCACGCGTTCAAAGTTTGGCGATGTTACCTGACTGGCGCCGACGTGACAGTACGGACAGACCACCGCTCGCTCCAGTACCTTCGCGCCCAACCGAATCTCAACCCACGACAGATTCGCTGGTTGGACTATCTCGAGTCCAATTTTCACTACACCGTTACGTACAAAAAAGGCGCATCCAACATCGCCGACGCTCTCACCCGCCCCACCGCCCAACTCCACGCCATCCTACTCGCCCAGACCAACCCGCTTTTAACTGGCCTATTCACCCACGGATACCGCACCGACCCATTCTTCACGACCGGAAATTCACAGCAACCGGCAGAAGCAAAAGGAGTTTATTACGTAAAAACAGGCACCAACCGCATTTGGGTACCTGCGTACTCACTACTGAGGGAGCTGCTACTACAGGAGGCACACGACGGGATTACCTCGGGACATTTCGGGGTAGAAAAAACGCGACAGCAACTGCAGCGGTATTATTACTGGCCGGAGCTGTTGACCGACGTACAGCAGCACGTGGGCTCGTGCCCGACGTGTCAGGTGATGAAGAGTTCAAGGAAGCGGAAGGCGGGTCAATTGCAGCCGATCCCACCGCCCGAACGCGCCTGGCAGCAAGTAACCATGGACTTCGTCACAGGGTTACCTTCGAACCCTGGGGGTAACGACGCGGTGATGGTCGTCGTGGATAGGTTGACGAATATGGCACACTTCGCTGCGTGCAAAAAGTCGATCTCAGCCGAAGAGACCGCTCGCCTGTTCATCGCAGCCGTTGTTCGCCTGCACGGGATACCAGCAGCAATTATCAGCGACAGGGACACGAAGTTCACCAGCAACTTCTGGAAGAACCTCTGGGAGCAGTTCGGGACCAGGCTACAGTTCAGTTCGTCGTACCACCCCGAGACCGACGGCCAAACGGAACGGACGAATCAGACGATGGAGCAGTTGATTCGTGCCACGTGTGACGACCCCACGACCTGGGAGCACCAGCTGCCGCTGATCGAGTTCGCGTACAACAACGCCACATCAGCCACGACGCAGCAGTCCCCGTTCTACCTGAACTACGGGCAAAACCCCACAGTGCCCATGACGCCGAGTCCGGACAACCCAACGCCACGTGCACAACAATTCGCCGAAATCATGCAAGCTGCCCGCGCCAGAGCCGCCGAAGCAATAAAAAAGGCCAACGTCATCGCTAAGCGCAACGCTGATCGCCACCGCCGCCCTGTCACGTACCAATCTGGAGATTACGTGCTGCTCGACACGGAAAATCTGCGACTGCCCGACGTACCGAAATTACGACCGCGCTACTGTGGACCATTCCAAATCAGTCACATGATCACACCCGTCACCGCACACCTACTGTTGCCAACCGACTGGTACATCAGCCCTTCGTTCCACGTCAGCCTACTTCGCCCATACATCCCGACCACAAGTCAACTGCCGCGTCACCGCCCACAATCAATGACTCGCCCTCCATCGGAGCCGATCATCGAGTCGGAAAAAATCCTAAGCCATCGGATCCGCCACCCCACGGGAATCAGGAGGATTGAATTCCTCGTTCGCTGGAAGGACCGCACGCCAACTGAAGACAGCTGGGTGCCCCTGCCCAACATCGAAAACCACTCTGCCCTGCAAGTGTACCTGAGGAGCCGGGGATTCCGCGATATACACGCACTTGCGTAGCGGAGGGGGCTTTTTAAGGGGGGGGGGGGGTAGTGTAAGGAATTTTCTCGGCATTCCTTACGGAGCCGACTACATTGCGTACAGCAACAGCCGATTGTTCGCCCGTTACTGCTAACGGAACTTCGCCGACTTCGCGCGCACGGTTTTGCCAAACCTCGCACTGCTGGCATGGCCGTATCGGCCGTCTTCGGGACTAGCCCGAGCCTCGCTCCAGCGTAGCACTAGCAAGCTCGCACGCACCGCGTTACCGTTTTGCATGTTTCGCGTATAAATGTTCGCTCATGCCTTCGCTCACATTTTGTACTCGTTTGACACCTTAGTGCAATTCTCGCTACTTCGATTCATTGCACCCGTAACAGTTCTTTAGAATGAGCTGGTGTAGTGTTGTTCCACTGGGCTAGTGCACTCTGTCAACTTTGCTCGTGATTTCGCACCGCACCGCCGCTAATTACTGTACGACAGCTCATGCAACAACAAAACGGCCAGCGCAGCTTGGCGTGAATCTTGGTGAAGAAACGGATTTCTCGATGGCCTTTGATGAACACCGCCCGTGAATATCGTATCCGCGGCCACTGTTTCTCTCAAATCCAAAGTATTTGTCGAGACCTTGTGTACACTATTTGTTCTTAACCGTCTTTTATAGTGGCTGTGTGCACCCCCTTGAAACGAGAGCCCAAACTTGGGTTGATTAACAAGGTTGGGCTTCCCGTGTCAGGGTATCTATATACCACCACAAAGAAGGCGCTAGGACCGAACGAATGAGCGAAGCGTGTAGTCTAATTGCTGTTTGGAAATATCAGGGTTATGTCTATATAGCATCAGGGACCCAGTTGTGTGTGTCAAGGGGGTTTCTGGTTGAGCAGTACAGTACCTTCGTGTCTCTGTTCAATGGGGTGTGCAGCAATGCACCTAAAGTGGCATCCAGCTTGGAGCCAAGTCTGACCATCCAGATTTTTCCTTCTTTGTTCTTCAATTTGCTGCAAACCGACGCGGTGGCACAATACTGCGCGTATTGCTAGGAAAGGCGGTGACAAACTTGTACATTCCCCCCCAAAACTCTTTCTGACCTGATCACATGCACTGTCAACAATGTGTTGCGTCCGCAACGAACTAGTATAAATCCGCATCTCCTACGTTGAATGGGTGGTTGTGGAAATCAGTGCAGTCACAGGGCATTCTTCTGTGCGCCCCTTCTAAAACTAACCCAGACGGTTCTTTCAAGCATCGTCAAGAACCTCACTTGCGGGATGGTCTTCAGGAGGTTAAACCAATTTGCCAGTACTTCCAACCAGTAGCATCTTAATTATGGAGCTAACCAGGAGTATAGACCTCAGTGCCGATAGAAGGGTGCGTCGATGGTGTGCTGTCCAGGCCTACGTGGGACTGCTTCAACTCGGAAATTCGTGCTGGAGCCGCGAATGCGAGAGCTGACCAGACCAGAGTTGAGGGAAGAAAGAAATGCAAAATCTCCTCTGCACAACAAATATTTTCAGACTTGTGGGCATCACACCACCAGTGGCGAGGTTCAAAATTCCCCCATGCGCCAGACAGCTACCACCGCATTGTGCTAACCGCAGCATTGCTCCTGGTCAGGTACAGTGCGGTGCACCCCATAAAGGGCGAGCAAAAGCCATCCCGACGAGTTCAGTGGGGCTTCGATTCCACCCCCCCATTGTCAGCTGGGCAGGTGATGGGCACGGGGCGGTGCAATTGCGGTGAGCGAGCTCAGCAGCAGCCACAGCAGCCATGGCCACAACAGGAAAGCGAAATTAGCGTGGTCGAGGCGAGGCGAGGCACATGGGTGGATGTGCATCGTCCCTCCCTGCCCTGACTGACCGATCATTGGGGAGTCCATCTTGACTCGGTCGTGTTATTCCGTCCGTCCTCTTTTCCAGTTGCACAAATTTGACTGTTCTGGTTCAGCCTGAGACATACGCTTACCGTATCTCCTACACTAACTCACTCACGACTTACTTTAGCAACATATCTTCTTTGAATGCCGTGAATACGCGCTTGTATCGCCTATTCTGCACCGTGATTGCCGTGCATTTCCATTGGAGGGTACTCTTAACGACATACATTCTAGCGTTGTCGACTTTAGTAGTTGTAGTAGTCGATAATTCCTCCTTAAATATCTGCGGATCGTGATGTATCCACACGCTGATCAAGGGCTTAATAAGCCGGACCACAGACCAACACTCCCCCTAGCCCCGTCAAATGCGGCGGAGAACATGCCGTCCAGCCTCAATCTTATCCCTTCCTTCGCGTCGCCGTCATGGGGTCCGGGTCCCTCGTTGCTGATGTTCGCGTCGCTCTCCGGCTCCGGCGCTGGCGCTTTCACCGCCCCTGGCAGTGAAATTGCTCACGGCGACGCGCTTCGGAGATCCGCTTCGGATCGCGGCGCATCTGCCGCAATCCCCGTCCCTGCCACGAGGTCCTCCGCGCTAACGCGCGCCGGAAGCTTAACGATGGACGGTTTCAGCGGCTCGCCGAGGGAAAGCTTTCCGTACACCGCGACAACACACAGCGATCGCTTCAGTCACGCTCATTACAATTACATTGGAGGGAATGAGAACGCCAGCAATGCAGGGTCGTCGGCGCAGGGGCAGAGCTCGCAAATTTTCGGCCAGAGCCCGACGACCGACCCGCGTTCATGGCACGAACGCAGCAACCACAGCAAAGGGCAAGAACCTCTTCTGTCGAGGCACTTACTATCGCGTACGTCGCTCCCGGGCGCCTCGCGCTTCGAATCCGACCGCTGCGACGCGGCTCCGTCCGTCTTCGCCAAGCCCGCAGCGCCGTTGGCGGTGGGACAGAATCATCACTCTTCGGACGTCGCTCCGCCGCCGGTATCAGTCGCCGGTGCATCCGCGGAGACTGCGGCATTGCACGGCGGCCAATGCGGCGCGTCTCAAGAAGGCGACGGCGGGGGAAGCGCGGGTCCGAACAACAACTCGTCGCGGGGAGCGTCGAAGTAAGTCAATGTCGCTTGTGTTAGATCTGTCCGACTGTTAACCGGTCTCGAAACACGGTTATGAAACGAGCCATGATGCAAACCGCATTTCTCGTTTGTTCGTCCTTTCTCGATCCGCCAGTCACCCTCCGTTTCTCGTCCTGCCCAGCTTTCCTAATGCTGCTACTTCCCTCCCTTGTCGCACGTCCTGCAACTTCCCGTCGCACGTCCCCCGCAATTTCCGTCGCATCATGTTCCACGCTTCCCGTCCGTCCCCGCAGGAAGCGCAAGCCCGTGGCGCACGCGGGGAGTCGGTCGGTGGTGGCGGCGGACGGGTACTTCTGGCACAAGTACGGCCAGAAGAGCGTCATGGACCGCGCCATCACCAGGTACAGCCCTCCCCAGATACAGCCAAAACAGGTATAGCCGGACGGGTACTTCTGGCACAAGTACGGGAAGAAGAGCGTCATGAACCGCGCCGTCACCAAGTACAGCCCTCCCGAATTACAGCCATAACAGGGTAAAGCCCTATTACCGCTCCTGCCGCTGCAGGTGATCGTCGTTGTTGCCGCTGCAATTGTTCTCCTACAGTGCTCGTCCCATCATCGCCTCGTTGTGAAGGCGACGGCGCCCCCATTGCTGCCCCTCATGTTTGCCATCCCTCCCGTACTTCCCCTTGACGTACAATCTCGTGAAAATTGCCCGTTTCCATCCCTCATCGACAACACACCCCCGTCGTTGTCGGCTCGGCAGCAACGCATGACAGCACTCAGTGTTGACTGCGCCCTCTCCCCCGCCCTCCGATCATCAGGGCGTACTTCCGGTGTGCGCGGCACAGCATGGGGTGCATGGCGCGCAAGACCGTCGATGTCCCCATCGCTACAACCCCCGCCGCTACAGCCTCCGCTCCATCGCTATCCGCTGCTGCAGCCTCGCTCGCTACAGCCGATGGTAGCGTCGCCAAGCCCTCTGACACCGCCCCCCCCTCCAGTGCAGCAGCACTGCAGCCGCAGGTGTCGTACCACGGGACACACAACCACACCCCGCCCGGCCCCTGCTCTCTCAGCCTCCCCAACTGCGCCGCCGCTGCCGCCTCAGCTGCAGCAGCAGAGGGGGACATCCAGGTGCCTGTGTCTGCTTCGCCAGGCGCTGATGGCGCTGACGGTGCTGCTACAGTGGTTCCCGTAAGCCGGACGGATCACCAGAGAAGACCGGCGGTAGCGGAATCAGCAGACGTGGCTGTTGGCAGTGGCACGGGTGCGGCCGATGCGGCTTCTGCCGTGGCCCCGCTTGGCCTGACCCACCGCCTGAGCCTCAACTCCACTGTCTCTCTCGACCGCGTGCCGCTCTCACCCGCCTCCGCTGCCGCCCACCCCGCCCTCGCTCTCACCCTCGCCACGCCCACCACCGCTCACAATCTCCCTGCAGCCGCACCAGGAGATGCCCAGAGGCCCAGTACAGCGGAAGCAGCAGCGGCGGCAGCGGCGGCGGAAGCAGGGGATTCTGGGAGCTGCACGGACGAGCCGATGGCGGAGCAGTCGAAACAGAGCCCGGCAGGCACACGGGGGTCCATGGAGGTGGGGTCCGTGCGCGCCGAGGACGAGGACCGCCTTGCGTGCTCAACCAGACCTGCCAGGTCACACTCGGTGGAGGCGCAACCAGAGGGGAATGGCGACGCGGCACAGAGAGGGGGCAATGGGGTGGGGCATCATGGAGAGGAACGAGGCTTGGCTGGTGCTTTGCGTCCTCATCCTTCTGCTGCTGCTGCTGCTGCTGTCGCTGGGAGCCATCCCTCTATATCGGCAGCGTTTGCTGCTGCCGCCAGTGCCGCTGCTTCTGGTCCCGCCTTCGCGCTCCCATCCGCAGGCCCGGGAAACCTCTGGGCTATGGCACCTCCTCCTGGCACCAGCGTCCCTGGTGCCATTCCCCCTGGCGCCACCACCACCAGCAGTAGTTTCCAAGGCCCGCCTCTGCCTGCACTGCCCATGCCCATGCCCATGCCCATGCAGACACACCCAGCAACTGCCACCCATCTTGCTTCCATGGCTCACGCTTGGGGCCATCACTCCCACCCCTCCCTCCCCTCTGCTGCTGCTGCAGTTCCTCTGTCCCCTCTTGGCCACCACTTGCCCTCTGGGATGGTAGTTATTCCTTCCATACACCCACCACCACCGCTCTTCAACCCGTTGCACCACAGCCATGTACCAGCTGCTAGTGGGAGTGCGTTTGCCTATCCTACCCCCCACATCCAGGCAGCACAGGCGCAGGCACAGATGCAAGTACAAGCACAGTTGCAGTTACGGTCCCAGCTGCAAGCACAGCAACAAGCACCACCAATCCACTCGTTTCAGGCACAGCCACCAGGCTCAGCTGATCCCGTTGCTAACTCCCATACCCTCTTGAATTTTCGCTCTGCAGATTATCCTCAGTTGTCCACCTCTAAGCCTCTCCTGCACCATGCGCCATCTGAGTTAAGGGAGAGCACAGGCCACCATGGAGGAAGTGATGTTGATGAGTCAGCACGCCACCTGGCATCGTCTGGTAGGGAATGGAACAGTATCATGGAGGGAAGTCACCAGGAAGCCAAGAGGATATGTGTGGAGTGGGGGCAGACTAAGACTGGAGTTCAAGAGGGATCGACAAGAGGGGCTACTCCTCTGGTTGCTGCAGTTGCTGCCAGCTCCACTTATAGAGGATCTGCACACAAGTCTTCAGGAGAAAATAACGCAATGAAGGCTTCCAACCTGGACCTGGAACTGAAACTGTAGTAATGCCGTGGAAAGGGGCTTTTGTTATGCATGATGTAGTGCTTGTAAATATAAAGTATTGAAGCTGTCCCCATTTTTCCTCTATGTTGCTACACTCGCGTGTTCTGCAGCTTCCACAAGCGAATAAATGCTCAGGTCCCAGAAAGATTTTAGTTTTACAACTGTCACGCGTAGGTGTGTTTTGCTTGTCGGCATGATCGTTCGTTCCTTTGTGCCTCTCGCAACGAGTGTACCAGACTCGCCATCTAGAAGCCATGCTTCTGATATTTTTTTCCCCGTGGGTCTGGGCAACCACAGATTGCGCTTCTGGTTCTAAAGCGACAATAAACACAGCCGTCGGATCCAGCCTTGGTTCGCTGGCACGCTGACGATCATGTGATCGTCCAGGGTCCCTTGTGCAAGATCGCAAATTCGTGTTTGTCCTCCTCACACTTTGCGACACGTAGCTAGGTCTCACGGCAGGTGATTGTCCAATCATGATGCTAATGGTTGTCACAACGGCTTCCAGTCTATCCACGCATTCAGCAAATCGTGGTTAGTCGTCGTCGCACCTGAACGATCTCCATTGCAGAATCGCGTGAGGCATGTGATTCGGAGGGCAGCAATGAAACCATTTCATTCAGAGTTGGGCAAACTACACCCTGTTTCGCGCTAGCAGAGCATCTGGTTGCAGAACATGCACAGGTTGTAGAACGTCACCACGTTTGAAATGGTCTTATCACCGACGGTACAAGCACATTCACAAGAAAGCGGTTAGCTAGGATGCTGCATGGTAAAGAACATTAACCAAGCGTTTCAAAGCGGTTGAAAAGGGTATACAGCGATAAAGAAAAATTTTGCCCCCAGTACCACTCCGTCAGCTGGTGCGGCTTTGCCCGCAGGTTTCAGCCATACGGTTTATGGCACCTGACCGCACTGTAGCAGCGAATCGCGCAAGGTGAGAGGGTCGAGAAACAGGGTGTACATGGTTTCTCGAAACAATGGAGACTCGCGAAGCTGCGAGAGAGTGAATCGATCATCCTCACACTTTTAGTTGGTTTTTTTTTTTGGTCCATTGCGGTTAAACAACCTCAAGTGTTGCTGAAGGTGCTCCAGTAAAGCTTCACGCATCCTCCTAGAGTTCTTCCAACTTTCAAACCCTTTATTGAGTGTAGCACAGTGCAACGTATCAATCGTTTTTTTTCCAGTGGGAGTGGAGAGAGTAACCCTGCAAGATACACTCCTCTTTCTGGCAATGTAGGTTGTTGCGAGCACAGCGCTGTCACTCTGCTCTGCTGCACGCTGTTCGGCTTTGGGGGAGTGGGTGGGTGGGTGGTCCTTCAGCTGCTACACAGGCACTCCAGAATCTAAAATTGGACTGGATCAGGAGTGGCAGAAGTGGGGTGTGGGGGGAAACAGCGACCAGTTGACGCTCGATCAATTCGCTTTGCATTGCGCACATACAGTACAGTACAGCCACAGCCCTGCAGAAGAGAACTTCATCTTTCTTTCGTCTTAGCACTTCGATATTTTTTACCCGTGTGGAGACTTAGCCATCACGCACACCAATCTCTTGATCCTTCCTCGACATAACCTCGTATTTTACCCGAGCTCGGTAGTCACAGCGAGCCAAGAGCGAATCCATGGCGTGGATAAACCTGTCGCGGAATCGCACCAAATCGAAGAGCTTTAGCGACACGTGGAAGGTTCTTCAGCTAGGACCCACGCGGCCCGCCATTGCCGTTCCCACCGCACCAAATCCGCGTAGTACAGACTTTCTCTTTCCTCTTCCCCCGGGCCTCCCTTCGAATACCTGCCAGTCCGCCGATCCTCGTTGCGCTCCGGGATCTTCACAGCGGCCCGAAGATAAATCGTCGCCGCTCTCTTTCCCGCCTGCCCAGCCGCCTCTCCCGCTCGCCTCTCTCGCGGAGTCTCCCGTAGGTGGCGCGTCCCAGCCATTGTCGTTGGTTCGGCCCGAGCCTGCCACACCAATGTTTCCCTTTGGTCCATTCCAACCGCTGCGGTGCTCAAGAGGAGAGGGCGTTGCTTCCCGTGAACCCCTGGCGGAAACCCCGTCTCCCGGTGGAGGGGGAGAGGCATGCGCGGAGAGGGGAGGCGCTAGCGTGAACCCGCTCGAGTCGGGGCTGCCCTCGTCGCAGCTGCAGCTTGTTCTGGTTGCGGGGGATACGACAGCCCTTCCGCCTCCAGCGGAGGAGCCTTCCGCTTGGCCCTGGACGTGGCAGGAGCGCCTCCGCGCAGTCAAGCGCCGGCGGATGGACGCGCGGGAATGCGAGGAAGCGGCGCAAGGGGAAGCGAGGGGGTCTGGCGGAGCGCAGGATTGGGGGAAGCTAGAGGCGGAAGCGGAGGAGGAGAGGCGGCGAAAGCAACGGCTCGGCATTTTGAGCGGGATGCGTCAGATGCTGGACAGCCCTGGTTTCGCCGCTGCCCGCGGGCAGAGGAAGAGAAAACTCGTCGTCCGCCAAGGAGGCTTGAGGCACCGCCTGCCGACAATGCGCGGCGCGTCGAGTGCGAGCGGCAGCGGCGACCAATCGAGCGAGAACACTAACTTCGAGGAGCGCGCAACGGAAGCCGCCAGGGAGGCGGAAAACGCTCGCGCGGCAAATGATGTCGCAACACTTGCAGAGGACGACGCGGCGCAACTAACCGTTGGAGGCCGCGTGGGCGCGGCTGGCGGGGTAGATACGGCCGCCGCGGCGCCGGTGCACGCGCGGGAGCTGGGCTCCAGTGTTGCGACCGTGCGCAGAGGCGGAAGCTCGTCGGGAAGAAACGGCAGAAGGAATGGGGGCGGCGGACGGTGCGGAGAGTACGAGGTGGAGTCAACGCAGTGCGCGGCGGAGAAGGCGGAAGAGGGGACGGGGTTGGCGGAGAAGGCGGAGGAGGGACCGAACCTGGCGGAGCGCGGGGAGGCAGCGCATCCGCCCGCGTCGCCCTGTTCGGATGCGGAAGAGGCGGAACGAGCGGGGGAGAAGCGGAAGGCGCACGAGGCGCAGAATGCAGCGGACGGCGCTGCCGGCCGCGCCCACGTACGCCGTCGCCATGGCCTTCCCAGCCGCCTGGGAAATCTTGCTGCTCCGCCAACCGCTGCTGCTCCCCTCGCTCCTCCCGCGCAGGCGCACCATGGCAATGCGCCACCCTCCAGCGCACTCCCCAGCGCGCCCTGCACAGCTCTCCCTTTCCCTCTCCTCTCCCCAGACACCCCCCACCGTTCCCGTCCCTCCTACCCTTCTAGACTGCCGCTACCGTCCCCGTTGCCATTCCGAACCACCCCAGCACTGGCCGAGCCTCAGCAGGTTCGGCAGACCGGACATCCCAGTGCTGCCGAGGCTGTGGCACCCGAAGCAGCAGCACTAGACTCTGCATCGGCGGCGATTGCAGCGAGTGTGGACTTCCCCCTGTGGGTGCGGCAGCTGCAGGCGTGCGCGGGGGTGGGCGAGGAGGGGCGCGCGTCTGAGTGCACGGGGGAAACACCCGGGTCCATGCTGGATGTGCCTCAGGTGCAGCCCGCGATGGAAGGCAGCGACGCCAGCGGCGGCAGCGGTGGCAGTGGCAGCAGTGGGGAAGGGTGTGGTGGCGAGGAGGAGGACCATGAGGCAGAGAGCCGGGGGGGTCAGTGAAAAAGGAGCAGAGGATGGGCCGGCATTGGAGTGCACGGGATAAACACCCGGATCCACCGCGATATGCCTCACGTGTAGCGCGAAATGGAGGGCCGTGATGCCAGTGGTGGCAGTGGTAGCAGTGGGAAGGGCCGCGCGCGGGTGAGGAGGATGAGGTGGAGAGCAGGGGGGCAGCGAGTGGGGCCAAGGAGAAATGTGGGGTACAGGTGGACGTGTGGACCTGCTACTATTGATGTTTGTACACATTGTGAGGGTTCACTATGTATTATCACTTTCTCACTTTCCTGTTGTTGAAAGTAACCGGCACTTGCATTCCTGAGCCAATCACTCAACAATGAGTCTCCCTCTCCATCCTGCAAAATGCCTCTCTTGATGAGAGCTAGAACAAAAACATTGGGTCATCTACAGCTGCTCTTCACTAAATTTGTTCCAAGACAGCATAGCATCAGGATACAACACACACATCACATATACTGGGTTTCTAGAGAGAGAGGTTCAGGTTGACCTCCTTCTGGCTTGATGCTCTCAAGTCAGCAACAAGCTGTATGGGACCTGCAGCACTATCGGCAGCACCAGCACCAGCAGCACCATCAGCACCATGAGCACCATGAGCACCAGCAGCACCATGAGCAGCCCCCCGTGCCTCACACTGAGCATCAAACTGCGCTGTCAGCCGCTGCACCACGCCTCCACTCCCCCTCGCACCTCCCCCCCTCGCCCTCGCCACGCGCCCCTGCTGCTCATCCCGACACACCGGAAACGGCTCCTCTCTTTTCAGGCGTCTGCGCGGCGAGTCACCAGGGGAAGGGGACGGGGACGGGGACGGGGACGGGGACGGGGAGGGCGATGGAATGAACTTCCCCAGCAGCATCATTCCCTCCCCCTGCTGAGCCTGAGGGGCCGCTTGCGCCGCTGCTTGTGCTGCTGTCCCCTCTTGACTGGCCCCACCAGCAGCACTGAGAGTAGAGAAGTGGTGCGCGTGGGGGGTAGTTGCTGCTCGGGTGCTGTGCGATCTGGTAACCGCCTGCGAGGCAGTTACCATGGTTGTTGTATGGAATGTGGAGAGAACGGGAGGGGCAGGAGCAGTAGCAGCAGCAACAGCATGCGAACACACATGCTGTTGCTGACACTGCTGTTGCTGCTGCTGCTGCTGCTGCTGCTGTTGCTGCTGCTGCTGCTGCTGTTGCTGCCACTGTTGCTGCTGTTGTTGCTGCTGCCACTGCTGCCACTGCTGTTGCTGCTGCGGTTGCAGCTGCTGCTGCTGCTGACACTGCTGTTGCTGCTGCTGTTGCTGCTGTTGCTGCGACTGCTGTTGCTGCTGCTGTTGCTGCCACTGCTGTTGCTGCTGCTGCTGCTGCCATTGCTGCTGCTGTTGCTGCTGCGGCTGCTGCTGCTGCTGCTGCTGTTGCTGTTGCTGTTGTTGTCGGTACTGCCACTGTTGCTGCTGCTGCTGCTGCTGGCAGGGCAATGAGGCATGTGGGCAGCAGGGCGCAGCAGTGTGTTGCAGGCACGGAGCAGCAGGTGACACAGAAGGCGGGTGCAGCGTGCAAGGTTGCGCAGGCGAGCAAGTTACCCCTGCAGGCGGCACAGCAGCCCACGTCTGTGGCTGTGGCTGTGGCTGGGGCTGTGCGCCCTGCTGCAGGCGAGGGGAAGGCGTGCATTGCTGCACTGGCGAAGCTGACGGCTGTAGCTGCAGCACCCCCGGCTGTAGCGCTGGCGATTGTCGCGGTGACGGTTGTAGCGGGGACGGGGACGGCTGTAGCTGGGACGGCTGTAGCTGCGGGGAGGCCTGCAGCATGGGCGGGCGTTTGGACTGAACGGGGGAGGGGGAGATGACAGCACAGAGGGGGAGGTGAGGGGGGGGGGCGCACGGGGGGGAGAGGGAGAGAGTGTGGGTGGAGGAGGTGGAGGAGGAGGGGTATGGAGGGGTGGAGAAGGAGCAGGCGGGGCTGCTTGTGTGAGTGTGGGTTGGTGCTTGCAGTGAGGAGGGCAGGCGGAGAAGTGGAGAGGGAGGTGCGAGGGACTGCTGTCCTGCTGAAGCTTGCTGACTCACCACCCCTTGCTGACTCATCACCACCCCTTGCTGACTCACCACCACTCCTTGCTGAGTCAGCGTGTCTGGCTGGTAGTGCACTGCTATCTGCGATTTGCCAGTGCACCCCGCAGCGCCGGCGTAAGGCGCGAGCACTGAAGCAGGGGGGCCGGCGGGCGCATGAGGGGGGGCGAAGGCGGAGGGGGGAGGATTGGGGTGGGGGTGCTGCTGCTGCTGGGGGTGGTGGTGATTGTGGGGGTAGTGATGGTGCTGCTGGGGTTGCTGGGGGTGGTGGTGGTGGATGGGACAGGTGCAGCTGGGAGCGACGGCTGATGCCTGAGATGGCATGGGAATGTTCATGGTCATGTTTTGGGGCGGCATTGGCGTGTTTTGGGGCGGCATTGGCGTGTTTTGAGTCGGTTTTGGCGTGTTTTGGGGCGGCATTGGCGTGTTTTGGGGCGGCATTGGCGTGTTTTGGGGCGGCATTGGCGTGTTTTGGGGCGGCATTGGCGTGTTTTGGGGCGGCATTGGCGTGTTTTGGGGCGGCATTGGCATGCTTTGGGGCGGCATCTGCATGTATTGGGGCGGGGTGACGGCGTGCGGGGGCGGCATGAGTGGGCGCTGGGAATCAATAGGTGCAGCAGGTGCAGCAGGTGCAGCAGCAGCAGCGCCAGGAGCAGCAGACGGAGCAGCGGAAGGAGCAGCAGATTGGATGGCAGCAGCAGGAGGAGCGGAAGCGGGAGGAGCGGGAGGGTAGCGGTGGAAGGAGGAGGACGGGGCGGTCAAGGGGCGGAAGGTTGATGCAGCCACGGGCTGGGAAGGCTCCGCGTTGCTTCCACGGCTGCTGGCTGCAAAGACGGGTGGCGGCAGCATGAAGTTTCCTGGAGGGTTCAATTGGGCGGGTTGTGCAGGTGAAGCGGTGTGCTGTTGCTGGTGTTGCTGCTGCCATTGCGGTTGTTGCTGTTGTTGGTGGTGCTGCTGCTCCAATCTCTGTTGCTCCGGCTGCCATTGCTGCTGCTGCTGAAGGGGGCCGCCAGGCGCGGCGGGGGCTCCGCCGGGAGAGGGGCGGTGGGCGGGCGGAAGAGTCAAGAGGGAGGGGGAGGGGGAGGAGGATAAGAGGGAGGACGCGGAGGGAACAGGGGAGGCCAGGCCCGGACTGGGTGGCATGGGTTGTTGCGTTGTGGGGCTGAAGCGGTAGCCCTGTGCTGCTTGCTGCTGCTGCTGCTGATACTGCTGCGGTTGGTACTGCTGCTGCTGCTGCTGCTGCTGCTGCTGCTGCTGCTGGGGTTGCTGCTGGGGTTGCTGTGGAGAGAGGAAGCGAGGAGGCGTCTGGGTGGGCCGTGTCTGCACGTGGTGACCGGGACTGCATGCGTGCGCGGTGTTACCAGTTACCTGGTTACCAGCCCCGCGCACAACAGGTGAGTTGAGAGCAGGAGGGGCAGAGGCAGCAGGGTGAGTAGCGGCAGCAGGAGCAGAAGCAACAGGAGCAGCAGGAGCAGGGGCGGGTGGGGCGGGGGAAGCAGTGAGCGGAGGGGAGATGGGGGACGGGCCGGCATTGGCGGGATTGGATTCCGCAGACGCAGCAGAGGAGCTAGCAGCGCCGGTTGTAGCACCGCCGGCTGTAGCAGCCCCGGCTGTAGCAACCCCGGCTGTAGCAGCAGTGGCAGCCGCAGCAGCAGCGAGCACGTTGGGCGGCACGGAGATGTTGGGCGGCAGCTGGGCGGGCGTGGTGGCGTATGTGAAGACCTCGCGCTGCAGCCTGGGCGGCAGGCCGTGCGTGTGCGAGCCGCTGTACGTGACGCGCATGTCCAGCCCCCAGCGAATGGGGAAGTCGATCGTCTTCTTGGCCGCGCACCCCGCGCTCCGCCGCGCGCACCGGTAGTACGCCCTGTGAGCGGGGAGGGAGACGGGAAGCAGAGGGTGAGAGACGTGAGAGGCTGCAGGGAATGGGTGTGTGCAGTGCAGCGTGGTGAGTCGTGATGGAGCACATCGCTTTGCCGCCTTTCCGAACTCTATAGATCCCTGATAGCGACAAATCCCACTCACACACACATTCTCTCTCCGCTTACTCAACTACACATCCCACATATCCCGCCCCCGCGCGCTCACCTGCAGTATCCGGCATCCACGAGATTCTTCTGCCCGTATTTGTGCCAGTGCTGCCCGTCGTCCGGAATGTAACCCGCTTTAGACAGCCGCTTGTAGCGGTACCGTTTCTTCTTGCCGCACGCGCCGCCATCCGCGGCGGTCACCCCGCCAACCGCCTCCTCGCCTTCCCCCTCGCCCTCATCCCCCTCCGCCTCATCCTCTTCCTCCAACCCCGCGCCGCCGCTCTCCCCCGACTTGTCATCCACGTCAGCAGCGGGACAGCCGGCGGTCGCGTTGACCGTCGAGTCAACGGGCGGCGACGCCCAGGGGAGGCGGGGCGGAAGCTCAGAGGAGTGGTGCGGAGCAGCAACCGCAGGCGCAAGGTGAGGCGCGGCGGCGGGCGGTGAGGCGGGAGCAGGGCGCGGCGAGATGCCGCCGCCACTGCCGCGGTTGATCGTCTCCGCCAGCTGCGCCAGTGTCGGTTTCTCGCCGGGATCGGCGCTCCCGCGGGGTCTCTTCGCGGCGGGTTCCGCGGATCTCGTCGAGTCGGCTTTGCTCTCCGTTCCCTCGGGCGGCGCCGCCGCCGCATCGCCGCCAGTGCGGCATTCGTCGGCATCGGCGCTGGCGTTCAGCTTCCGCTTCTCCGCGTGCGAGCATTCCCCGCGAGATTGTTGCGCGACATCATCCCTGCGCTCCAAGTCCGCGGAGCTCTTCCCCGCGGAGTCCTGCGGGGGAAGGTGAGCGCCACTGTCCAGCGCGCGCAGATCGTCCGCGATGGGCGCAGCGGCGGTCATGACGCATGTGCGGGGGGCGAACGCGGCGAAAGCCCCCTCCTTGCCGGGGGCTGCGGCGCGCGAAAGGGCGCGAAACGGCAGCGAGTAGGGGCGTCGCGTTGTGGAGCGCAAAGCGAGGGAATCCGACGGAATGGACGACGCCGATAGGGTCAGCAACATGGCAGGGCCGGTGCGGCAACGTGACGAATCGATGTAAGGATCCGAGTGCGACGCGCGCGGTGGAGATTCGTTAGTGTGCTGCGATCAGCAACATGGCAGGGGCGGCGCGGCACCGTGACGGTCCGATATCAAGATCCGGAGTGCGACGCGGCACGGTGGGGATTCGTTATTCGTTAGTGTGCTGCGATCAAGCGCAGCGAGTCGACGGGATTCGAAATCATGCGGCGGTGCCACCGCGACGACGAAGTGACACTTAGAGATTGCGACGATGGTGGCCGGAAAGGCGAGAAGGAGAAGTGCGTTTACCAACGCCAAGTGTGAGGGAGTCTAGTGCGGTCTACTAACGCAACAAGCACACTACGTGTGCGTACGAACCATATTAGCGGCTGTTTTTGGAGCCTTAGCGTGGCAAATGGCGGCCTTTGCATTCCTCCTGTCCCGCGCGCCCATTCTCGCTGCTGTGCTGCTGCGAGTGCGCGGAGCATCGTGCGGTGGCGTGTGGTAGCGGGGGCAGTCAAGGTGAATCAAAAACCAGAAATGGGGCACGGCCTGCCAGATGACACCTCAAGCTTGCGCAGAAAGCTGAGACCGAGATGCGACGCAGAGACGAGCCAAGGAACAGAAGAGTTGCAGCACTAGCGGACAGGAATTCTAGGATGGGATGGGTGGATTTCGCTCACTGTTGCCGATATCGCATCCCACCCCGTACAACCGAATCCGGGTTATGCTGTTTTTCCAGGGCTGGGCAGCCAGCACTTCGCCAAAGTACGGTACGCTACGCGCTTTGTTGTGGTTGTCACATGTCACTCCGTCTGGAATTTCCATCTCCCCTTTTTCGTGTGCGACAATTCATTTCCTTCCCTTGATTCCGGATGCGCGGAGGTGCGTCGAGTCCGACCCAGGGCTGACGATTCAAGGGCAAATGCCCTTAATGCCCTGAACATTAAGGGCTGGGTTCGGCCCAGCTTCCGAAGTTTAAGGGTTGGGTTTGAGGGCAGCCCGTCCCCGCAAAGTGCTTTTTGTGGGCCTAACTCGGATTTCAAGTGCCGATCCCCCGGCTAGCCCTTATCGTCCCACACTAATACCTCCCTCCCTCCCATTCCCTCACCAGTCCCCCCGCCTCTCCCAGCTACTCCACTACTTCCTTTTCCCATCCCCGTCAAATCCATCGACATGGTTCCGCCTCAGCCTATTGCCTAGCTGGCTCTTAGTAGTTTGCCTAGGATAACGGACCCGAATAGATGTAGGTTTTCCTTAGCGAAAGTGCAAAAAACATGGTAGCCCCGATTTCAAGTGCCAGGTCTGCTCTCAGCCCGTAAATTTCAGGGCAACTTTTGGGGCACCTCAGCCTCTCAAGTTCTGGCTCCAAACCAATCGACAGCCCTGGTCCGACCCTGCAGCATGCTCTGTTTCCACCGTCGCTTATCATGAAAGCTTTCTTCTGGCAAACAAGGACTGGCGGATGAGAGGCATGAACGGCGAGGCGAGCGGAGCGGAGAGGCGCGCAGCAGCCCTGCGAAACTGGAGGTGGTGGCGTGGAGCCCACGTGCCGCGAATATATCCGCCAGGACAGGTTGCGGAAGGGGACGTATCGCGCATGGAGGCGGCTCGTAGGAGGGGCTATTCTTGGGTAGGCGGCCCATTATACTTTCACGATTTCCCAAAAGTAAATGACCTCAGGACTACACCTCAGGACTACGAAGACATCAACCTTCATTTTTACGAATACAGTATATCCAGATTGGTCTACTCACCCGAATACCTCACTTGGCTATCTCTTCTCGAGATCATACACGAGGGCAGCATGACATCAGGGCAGGATTCGTCAGTATCCCAAATCCGCATCGCGTTGTATCTTGTAAATTTATGGGCGAAATCGCGCGCATCGGTGAAAGTCACGTTTGTCTTCATTGAATCAACCCGATTTGCTCCAACTTTGCCACGTGGGCGTTTTTCTTAATTGAACGGACCGCTTTTCCCCCCGCCCCCCCAACCCGTTTTTCCCGCCCTTCCCCTCCGAAATTCGGGCACCCGCTGGATTTATGTGGAATCACAAACAGTGACGAATACCTGCTCCCGACATCATGCCAAATCCTCCGTGTATTGTGGCATGCCACATCAGCTTTCACAATAGACTCCTGATAATTTTGGAGGTTGCTTCTCAATCTCTAGAGGCTCTTATGCACGTTGATTGTATCATGTTTTTTTTTTTTGGATGAGCCCATGCCATTAGATAGGGGCGCGAAAAAACACATGACAAATGACCTTTAGTTTTTAATGTCTGTTGATATCTATACGTAAAGCAGATCTTGGGAGGCATAAAAAACAATTTGAGCCAAGTTTTATTCAGTCATTGTAATATTCACTCCAAATCAGATGAAATTAAACTTTTTTTGAATCAGGTATATATTTTGTTTGAATTTACTGCTCTATATCATTTAGAAAGAAATATTACCCTCCTATTATTATTATTCTAAAAAGAATGTTACTTAGGTGGCATAAATTTATCAAAATCCATATTTCTGGCCAGTATATTATAGAAATAATAATCTAGTTATTCGTTGGGCTCAATGTATTAGTAATTTCAGAATATATCAGAATTTAATTACTGGTTATATCTTATACGTAAATGAGAAATATAGTGAAGGTACTACAACGGCTGATGGCACAACCGAACGTGCACGTCAGTCAACATTGAAGAATCAAAACGCCTAGTATTTTGAATTCGTGACTGTTTGTGATTTCATGGGAGTACACACGGCTGCCCGAATTTCGGAGGGGAAGGGCGGGAAAATCGGTTTGGGGGGCCGGGGAAAAACGCGGTCCATCCAGTTAAGAAAAACGCCCACGTGGCAAGGTCAGAGCAATTCGGGATAATCCTTTTAAGAGAAACGCAATTTTCGCCAATGCGCGCGATCTCGCCAAATTTATGGACCCAGCGGCGGTGCGCCTTGTCCAGCGCGTGGAGCCCTTGTGGTAACATTTCCTCCTTCCAGCGTGGATTCCGAGACTGTGATTGGTTTAGAGCGAGATTTTGCTGGAAAACGTGAGCGAGTGCATGCACAATTCTGTTTGAATGGGCTTGTCAAGTGCTTCCTCAAACAGTGCAGTTCCTTGAGAAGTATCCGCATGTATTTCTACGAATCATCGCAGAAGCACCTGAATCCAGAGTTGGCGTTTCGCCCAGCCTGCAAGTGTACTATACATGGAAACTTAGACGATAAGTAGCTCCAAAAAGCCACAACCAATCTCTATGACAAGCTTATTAATATCTATATAGGCTGTCAGCTATTTACAATATTGGAGGAGCCAGTCGACATGGTGCAACTATGGGTATGGAAGAAACCCAGTTTGCGTGTAAATATATTTAGTAGGAATCTCAACATATTAACGCTAATCAAGCACTAGCCTACAAAAACGTTCAAAATGGGCTGAAACTGCGCAGAAGTCGCTGCAATATTAGGCCCTCCCAGAATTCGGGTCCGACTGCATCCAGTGCACAGACTGAATACTCCACCCAAAGGAGTTCTGCTCGCCTTCACACCCTAGTCCCAGCACCCAGGTCCAGCAGTGAGGGCAAGTCTGTCCACTACAGCTGCCAGCCAAGCCATCAAGGTCGTTTGAGCTCGACACATGGTCTGCCACTGCCACATGGTCGACACATGGTCGCCACTGCCTTGACTGAAGGGCCAGCATTTGCCATTGCCACACCCAAGCCAACCATCTGGAGCATGTCAATGTCATTTTCACCTGCCAAATGCACATTCACACACACTTCGACACACATAGAGTCACCAACACTGGCATACACACAAACTCACTCTACATCATACTCACATTCACCCACTTGTACTCACTCGCACTCACACTCAGTCACTCACCCACACTCACTCTTCCTCACTCACTCACACATTTCCACTCGCAATGAGTCACAATCGCTCACTGTCACTCACTCATACTAACTCGCATTCACTTACACTCACGTCCTCAATCAGTCAATTCGTCACACTCATTCACACCAACACACATACATGCACAGGCATACACATTCATACACACATACACTCACTCACTCACATACACACAACACTTTATATTACACCCACACCCACCCACCCACCCACAAACACACAGACTCACATACACTCATACTCACACACACTCCCTAACTCACGCTCACATTCGACTCAACTCACCCAAAGAGTCTCAGCCCCATTCTCTCCTCGACCCACACACGGGGTTTCACCACCCTACCCTATCATTCACATGCGAAGGGTTTCAGCCCGATTCCCACTCACTCACAAACCCGAGGGATTTTAGACCCATTCCCTCTCAGTCCCCCACCCAAGGGATTTCAGCCCCCTTCACTCTCAGTCACCCACCCAAATGGGTTTCAGCTCCCTTCCCCCTTACTCACCCACCTAAGGGGTTTCAGTTCCCCTCCCTCTCACTCACCCAGCCACGGGGTTTCATCCCCCAAGGGGTGTTTCAGCCCCATTCAAGCTCACTCACCCACCCAGCCCATCCCCCCCTTCACCTGCCAGCAGTAGGAGCAGCAGAAAGCCCACTCTCCCAAGGATTCAGGCCCACACCATTGCCCCTCACTCAACTCACCCTGGGCTTTCGTTTCAGCACCCCTTTTGTCCTCGCCCACTCACTCCACTCACCCTGGGGGATTCAGGCTCCCACCATTGCCACCAACACACCACCCAAGGGGTTTAAGGCCCCTTCTCTCTCACTCACCCACCCAGCCCATCCCCACTCTCACCTACCAGCAGTAGGAGCAGCAGAGAGCTCACTTCCTCAAGGAAACAGCACCCCCAGAGGCGGTGCCTTGTGGGGCGAGGTGTGGTAGTGGAAAATTGCTTCCAGCCCAAGACTCAAATCCCACCCCTGACGTAGCCAGAGCTGACGCGAACCAGAGCCGCCGGCCGGTCGGCTCTGACCGTGTCCATTAGGCCTTGCACGTCAGATCGGTTACTTGAGCACCGAGTGCCGTGCCGCACAGATTCCACCCACCACACCCGGCCCACAACGCACAACCTCAGAAGGTGCTGCCCCTAAGGCAGTGAACTGCCCACTCACTCTCATGCTTCCCACCCACCCACCCACCCCACACTTCACCCCCATGCCTCCTTACCTCTACCTACCAGAGCCATGCAGAGCGCCATGATGCCTTGGGCTGCTGGGAAGGGGGTCGGGAAGGGAGGGGGGGATGAACGGAAGGAGGGGAGTCCACTGTGGTCCAGGCAGGGTGCTGCTGGGAGGGAAGGGAAAAGGGAGAGAGAAGGAGGTGAGTAAGAGGGTGGACTTGACTCTCCTGTCCTTGCTCCAGTGCTCCCACTCTCAGGCTGCAAAAAAGACAAGGGGGGAAGGGGGAAGAGAGAGGGGAGAGAATCAGACTACCATACCTCACCTGATACCTTACCTCACCTGTTACCGTACCATACATGATACCACACCTCCCCACAGCTTCAGCTAGCCTAGCCTGCCCTCTGAACCCCCAACCCCACCGCTGCTACTGCTGCTGCCGCCTCGGCTTCTGCTGCTGCAACTGCTGCTGCCGGTCTGCTACTCTGCTTCCTCTGCTGCACTCTTGGCTTGATGCCACGTGACCTGGTGGCGGGCAGAAAGTGGAGGGGGGGGGGGGGGTGGGAGGGTGGGGAGGGACGGGAGAGGAGGGGCAGGAGGAACAAGTAAGTTGGCATGAAGGAAACACTCAAGTAAACCGAAGAACACTGGAGTGAAGAAAAACGAGAATGCAGAATTGAAGAGAGAGAAATGAGGCATCTGTAGCAGGGAGGGGAAAAGTGGCTCACCTCGGTTCAGACAACCCATCCCGATACTCTCCCATCCCATCCCAGCCGAGTGGAGTGCTGCCCCCCTCCCCTCCCACCACTGCCACCTGCACGGCCACAGGGGAGGGGCATGAGGGAGCGTCGGTGTTGACCCCCACGCTCCTCCCCTCCACCTGCAATGGCCCACAGAGAAATAGTGAGTGACTGGAGGAGAGGCGAGGGGGGGTGAAGGAGGAGATGCGCGAACAGAAGAAGCAGAGGGGAAGGGGCCACTGGCGCAACCTCAGTTACAAGCCACAGACCCAAGGGGGAAATATACCTAGGAAGGCCTAACCTGAGAGTATACCAGCTGTACCAGGGGGGATCTACCTTAGAAAAAACGGGTCTGTGGCTTGAAGTTTTGGCTGAACCAGAGGCTTGCGTTTGAAGCGAGAAGAAACAGGAGATGCAGCAAAGAACACAAGAGAGAATGGGAGTAGAGAGGCAGGGCAGGAACTTAGCTGCTGGTGGGTTGGGTGGAGAGCAGGTGCTGCCTGTGCACTCCATGTCCCCCGCCACTGCCACTCCCGCGTGAGCGACCTGCTGGGACCAGAAGGTGGCAGATCGGGACAGAGAGAGGAAGGGAGGAGGGGGAGAAGGAAACGGGGGAGTGAAGGAGTGAAGCCGAGAGGAGTGAAGTGAGAGCAAAGAGTGCAGCGAGTGCAATAATGATGCGTGCATGAATGGACTGCTGCAGTGGCACACCCAAGAGACCTCGTACCAGCTGAACCAAAAGAAAAAGAAGACCTGAGGCTGTACCAACAAAACAAAATGCCTGCTACCTTGGGGGAGGGAGGTCTGATGGGTGTGACAGAGAGCAGTGGAAAATGGAGCGTGACGTATGATGGAAGCACGACATGAAAGCAACAGAGTGGAGGGAGGAGAACGCACTTAGCTGGCGGTTGAAAAAGCACCGAGAGAGCTGCTGCTGCGGCCGCAGCTGCTGAGACCATTTCGCCATGCGACGACGCGCGGACGACGATTTCACCATGCGACGACGCGCGGACGACGATTTCGCCATGCGATGGCGCGCGGACGACGATTTCGTCGTGCGACGGCGCGTGGACGATTTCGATCGCGTATCCAGTCGCATCTGAACCCAGCAATAACGGGAAAGAGACGGTTTAGGGATATCGGGCAGCAAAAACGACGCAGCAACGCAGCACAATCGACGAGTCGTAGGGGACGAGAAAAGCGGTTGTGGAGACTCAGAGGAGCAATAGGGAAGGCAGTCGTAAAAACGTCTCAATAATCGTGAGTCGTACCGAATCACTTGCGGAAATCGTTGGGACGCGCGCAACCAGAGGCCGGAGGACGGACAAAGCAAGGAACGGTGTTCGTAGGAACGAAAAAACGCGTCGCCGCGACGGGAGGATCTGGCGAGGGCGAACCGGGAACAACAAGTGCAAATCGAGAAAGGATCATCTGAAATGTGCGACAGCGAAACGTGGAATCTGATCGACAATGAAACCTCGCGGCGAAAAACAATCATTCGGAAAACCTTGTCGGACGAACTATTCGGACTTTAAGGGCGTATCCAGGTTCGGGTCATGAGCACTGTTCCGGGCATGCGCGATTTGCGGATGACCCAAACAACATAGAACGCATGTTTGGGTCATGCGACCCCCATATTGCCGCGAGGGTTTTCGCGCCAAAATCCAGCTCACAAGAACAGTCGCATCCAATGGAGGGATGCCAGAACATTTCGAAAGGTCATTAGCGAGACCCACGCAAAACCACGTGACACTCACTGAGAAAACACAACCCCCAAAATTCCCGGAGAAAATTCCCAAATGTTGGGAGCGCGACGCGAGAAATTTTAGACACACTCGGGGTCAATTTGCCGAGTGGTTGGGTGCAGAGGTGTCAGGCGTGGGAAATTACCCACGTGTGACACTCGACTGCCGATCGACAAAAAGTTGGCAGTAACACCACAATCGTGCAACCAGGTGATTGGCTGTGGGTGGGTCGTGCACGTCAGTCGCACAACACCTACATCTGACCTGGAGGCGTGGAGCTTTGATTCAGTACAGTATTTAGAAATTCACCAAACCCAACCTGCCTTTGCAGAGCAAACAAGGCATGTGATTCGATGAGGGGGTTTCGCGAGATTGAAATCGAGGATATTCATGGCGAGTACTTCATTGTTACGTGGTTGGTTCATTTCCAGTGTTGCGCCATCTGAAGGCCCAATCACAAGCATGCTACTGCTCGCCCTTGACCAATTATGTGGCCCCTTACGAATCCTGGCTGTCAAGTCAGGTGAGACTTGAATTTCCGATTCTTCGTAGCTAAAATCCACATTCGAGCACTGAAGACCACCTCAAAGATATAGTTTCGTTGCAATACTCAGTGTGACTCATTTGATTAGCTAAAATACGGGAATTTTGACGCTCATGTTGCACGGAAAGAGTGTGGCGTATTTTTGCACTTCGGGTCATCAGCACATCGGGTCATCCGAGATTGTGGGATCCAATCGGAAAATCGGAATGCATCCCAATCTCTTGATTCCGAATTTTCGATTGGATCCCACAATTTCGGATGGCCCGAAGTGCTGATGACCCGAAGTGCAAGAATATCACTCAGGTCTCCTGACATTTTCAAGAGCTCAGTGAGCAAAAATCTGTGCAACCGTACACCTTGGGATCTCCTACCTCCCAGCATATAGGAGTATTTGTCACGACATTGCTTAGGATTCCGCCTTCCCCCTCTGCTCAACACTCTCTACTACCACAGTTGCAGAGTTGAGTGTTGGCTAGCTTTCGTCTGGCTAGCCATATGTTTTTCCACTTACCATGAGTAGTGATGCGGTCGTGAAACTCAGGTCGAAGACAGACTGTCGGAGCTCTGTTAGTTTTTGGTGCGTGTTTGGACTGATCAGTGAAGCCCACTGGAAGCCGTTTTTTTCCCGCTTTCCTTAACGGAGGTTCGTTAGGGATCCGTCAGAATGCCTCACGCCGCGCTGTCCGTCAGTCGACGGAGGCTAGCATCTCTCACGGCCTCGCGTCTCGCTCTTCCTGCTTTTCGCCTCGCTGAACCCCTTACTTTCTTACCTCAGGGCCATTCTGACTCGTTACCGATTGAAATCGCTCGTCATCTACACACTTCCGCCGTTGCAACCCGCGTTTCGTCGTCTGATGCTCTCGGTAAACCACAGCGTCCCAAGCTCGGACACGGTGGTCATTTATGCCAACCAGGATCAAATCTGCGATGCAGAGGACCCATTGCTCTCTCACACGACCCCGTCGCAGTTAGTCGCATGCATTTCGCCCAAGGCATCGCACGCGTCGCACAGCTCCATCAACAGGCGGGATCTGAGATCGCGCAGCGTGCGAAATCAGCAGACGCGCAGCTAGCGACATCGGCAGATCCGATCTCTGAGCAGGCTGGCGGCGAATCGGCAGTGGAAGAGGTCGGCGCGACGACCGTATTTCACGGCGATAATGACGGCGAAAATCGCGGCGAGATCCATCGTAGTAGCCACAGCGACAGTATCGGCGAGCAACGCGCCGGTTCCAACCCTTCGTCGGCGTCGCTGGGGGCGAGCGAAGCGGCGGTGGACGTTGGACGAGAGGCTGAAGGAGAGATGGGCCATCCGACGGTAGATTCGGGCAATCCGACGGTGCAGATGGACCGTCTGGCGATGGACATTGGGCATCCGTCGCAGCGGTCGCTGGACGAGAGGCTGAAGGAGGGCGATGTGGAGGCTCTCGAGGTGAGGCTGGGGAGGTGAGGCGGGGAGGTGAGGCTGGGGAGGTGAGGCTGGGGAGGTGAGGCTGGGGAGGTGAGGCTGGGGAGGTGAGGCTGGGGAGGTGAGGCTGGGGAGGTGAGGCTGGGGAGGTGAGGCGGGGGAGGTGAGGCTGGGGAGGTGAGGTGAATATTCCTGGTGCGTGGGTGATAGCGGATATCAGGAAGGGGTTCTCAAGCGTCTCATGAATACCCTTTTCCGTTGATTCCCCCTTCCCCAATCCCTTTCCTCGCCCTCTTCCCCTCCTGCCCGCCTCCCCATTTCTCTACTCCCTCTCCTCCCCCGTTTTTCCGCGCGCAGATTCCGATGGAGTCGAGGCGCGCGTTCGAGGAGGCGTGGCAGGGGGTGATAGCGGCGGGCGGCGAGGAGAAACTGTCGCCGCCCAAGGAGATCGTGTGGCTCAACGGCGCGCCCGGCGCGGGGAAGGGCGCCAACACGCCCTTCATCCTCCGCACGCGCGGATTCGAAGGTAGGGGGGTGCTCTGGACTGGAGAGGGTGGCCTGACGGGGAGTGGGTGGTCTGAAGGGGAGTGGATATTCGTGCCTCTGTCTGTCGGCCTCACTCACTCACTCCCTCCTTCACTCTCGCACACTGATTCACACCTCCACCCACCCACTGTGTCCGTGCAGCGCGTGCCATCCAAGGGATGATCCCTCCCTTACCCACTCACTCCCTCACTCCCTCCCTGCAGCGCGCGCCATACAAGTGAGCGACCTGTTGGGCGGCAATGAGGACGTGGCGGCCATCATGAGAAGTGGCGGGCTCGTCTCCGACTCCATGGTGCTGCAGATCGTGCTGCAGGTGAGCCGTCAGGTGCCCCAAGTGAATTGTCAGGTGGTTCAGGTGAATCACCATGACGAGCGGCCGGCTCGTCTTTGACTCCATGGTGGTGCGGAGAAGGATACCTCAGGTACCTCAGGCGAATCCTTGCGCTGGGCAACACGCTCATTATGCTGCAAGACGCGAATCAAAGTCCAATCCTAAAAGCTCACCCTCTCCCCCTCTTACCTCTCCCCTTCCTTCCCCCCATCAGCGCATCCTCACGCTCGGCAACACGCCAGCCATGCTACAGGACGCGGATCACAGCGAGGTGGTGGCGAATCCTCACCTCCCCCCCTTTTTCCTCTCTCCTCAGCATCCTCACCCTCGCTCCCTCGTCCTTCTCCCTCCACCCTCCCATCAGCGAATCCTAACTCTCGGCTACACGCCATCCATGCTGCAGGACGCGGATCACGGTGAGGTGGTGGCGAATCCTGTTTCCCTCTACACTCTTTCCCAACCCAACCCCCCATCAGCGAATCCTAACTCTCGGCAACACGCCAGCCATGCTACAGGACGCGGATCACGGCGAGGTGGTGGCGAATCCCGAGGCGGGCGGCAAAGTGGCCGGCGCTGTGGTGGACGGGTTTCCACGCACCACCGTGCAGGTGGACTTCATCAAGATGCTCTATGACAGGTGCGGAGCGGTGCAGCGCGGTGCACAGTGGTGCATTGCAACGTGGCATCAGGTGCAGTGTGGTGCAAAGTGGCGTTAGGTGCAGTCCAAAGTGGCGGGCGCTGTGGTGGACGGGTTTCCACGCACCTCCGTGCAGGTCGACTTCATCAAGATGCTCTATGACAGGTGCGTTGAGGTGCAGTGCGGTGCAAAGCGATAGCAGTGTGGTGCAGGTGTAGTCTTTGGCACCTGAAAAGTGGTAGACAGCTTTCAACGCACCACCGTGCAGGTGGACTTCATCAAGATGCTCTACGACAGGTGCGGTGCAATGCAAAGTGGTGCAATGCGATGCAGGTGTGCTCTGTGACAAAGTGTGGTTTGGTAGGTTTGGTCTGGTTCGGCACAGGTGTGGTCAATCTGTGCTCTGCTCTGCAACAGGTCTATGCTTAATGACATGTGAGTTTTTAGGCGACTTATAAGATGTTTCTCTGCACGCCCCTGGAAGCACAGCTCCCTTCCCCAATCCAGTGCTTGGCTTGGCTTGCTGGATGTGAGATGCCTTCTCACTCACAGCTTCTCTCCTCTCGATTCCCCCTCTTTCCTCTCCCTATCTCTCCCTCCCTCGCCCCTTCGCCCATCACCCAGGTTAATGGAGCTGCATCACAAGTATCTCAACACGCCCCTGGAAGCACAGTTTCCCCGACCCATCTTCCGTATCGCCGTCCTGTAAGCCTATTGACTCTCCTTCACTGTCTGGAAAAGGTACCTGAGCTCGCAATTGAGTGCTAAGGCATGTTCAGTCGCCGCCATTCCTCGCGTCCACCTGTCTTCTTCCATAGGATAATCCCTCTTCCCTCCCCTCTCAGCTCCCCTCCCCCTCACCCTCTCCTACAGGTATGTGGAGGAGGAAGAGAGTGTGAGGCGGCAGCTGGCACGGGGCAGGGCAGAACAGCTTATAATATGTCCCCCTGTCCCGTTCCCTTCCGTCCTTCCCTTCACGCCGCATCCTGTTATCATGGCAGGTACGTGGAGGAGGAGGAGAGTGTGAGGCGGCAGCTGGCACGGGGCAGGGCGGCCATTCAGCACAACCAGCGGGTGGTGGACAGCGGGATAGGGGAGCTGCAGGAAGTGCGGGCGACTGACTTGTGGTGAGTGATTCAGTTCAGAATTTCGATGCATCCATGCCTTGCCCTTGCAGTGAGAAGCCGGCACGTCGCCGTTACCACATATTCCGGCAGCACTTCCACACGCTGCTGCTGTCCTTCCCGTGTCAATGAGTTCTCTCTCCCATCTCTCCCTGCCCTCCCTCCTCTCACCGGCCCCCACAGTGAGAAGTCAGCCCGCCGCCGCTACCACATATTCCGGCAGCACTACGACACTCTGCTGCGCCTCAAGGCCTTCTTCCCCTTCCACCTCATTGATGGCATGGGGACGCTGGCTGAGTGCAGAGAGCAGGTGCGCATGTGAGGGCGTGTGAGGGCATGTGAGGGCAGGTGCGTATGTGAGGGCAATTGGGAGGGTAGGTATGGGGTGCTCTGCTGCGCCTCAAGGCCTTCTTCCCCTTCCACCTCATTGACGGCATGGGCACACTGGCAGAGTGCAGGGAGCAGGTGAGCAGATAAGGTAGGTGGAAGGTGGGAGGTGGAAGGGAGGCATGGGCATGGGTGTGGGCATAGGCATAGGCATGGGCATGGGCATGGGCATGGGCATGGGCATGGGCATGGGCATAAGCATGGCCCAAGAACGATTTATTTTTGTCAAGCGCCGTTCTTCCCTTTGTCCTGTTCGTGTCTTCTTCCCCACTCCCGCTTCCATATGATGTGTTGCTCTTCTCTGCACTGTCACCCCCATCACCCCCATCACCCACATCACCCCCATCACCCCCATCACCCCCATCACCCCCATCATCACCCCCATCACCCCCATCACCCCCATCATCACCCCCATCATCCCCATCACCCCCATCACCCCCATCACCCTCCCCATCACCCCCATCACCCCCATCACCCTCCCCATCACCCCCATCATGTTGACTGCAACTTGAGAAGTAGTTGCAGGTTCAGAGGCTTGTGGTTCAGAGGCTTGTGGTTCAGATGCTTGTGGTTCTTCACCTGCCATCAAATTTGTTTCTCGAATTTTCTCCTCCCCTCCCCCATTTTTCGCACTTCTCATGTCTTTCCTCCCCATTCTATCTTCTCAGTTCTGCTCTGCGTTGCTGTGTTGTGACCTGCTGTTCTCTGCTCATCCCCTGTTGGGAGCAGATAGAGAAGGAGCTTCAGTATCAGAGCGCTTTGGAGCTCAACCTAACCACGTTCCGAGCCATCAGCCACATTCCCCTCGCCTCTGTATGGATTCCGTTTGCATTCTCTTTACCTTACGTCCTCTTTTGCTGCGTGCACCTAAAGCTGTTTCAATGCAATCCAATCGCATTCTGCACGCTCAGCTGTAGATCAGCCAGCCACACTCAGCTGTAGATCAGCCAGCCACACTCAGCTGTAGATCAGCCAGCCACACTCAGCTTACCATCGGTCAGTCACATGGTATCAGCCCTTTCCACGTGTCTCGATGTGTCTTTGCTTCTGTTCTACTTACTCTCTCCTTGCCTATCCGTTTTCCATCCACCAAAGCACAAATTTCCGTGATATCAGCCCTCTCCCCTCCGCATTCGCCTTCCCCTCTCCCCACTCGCCCACCCATTCCCTCGCTTCCTTCTTCTGTGGCTCTCTTCGTCGTCACCTCTCTCCACGCTTCTTCCCGGCAGGATAATAGCCAAGTGCGCGCGGCAGAACATGGTGACTCGCCCCGACAGCTACTAGCGGAAAGAAGACCCTGCTCTCTCCCTCCTCCCGTCTCTCGGCCACTTCTCTCCCGCTTCCCCTATATCCCCGTCTGTCCCCCCCTTCCTCGGCAGGACATAGCCAAGTATGCGCGGCAGAACATGGTGACTCGCCTCGACAGTTACCAGCAGAAGGACCCTGCCACGTTCAAGGAGGTACTGGATTCATTGCATCAAGCCTCGCCTTGCGCGCCTTGTCTTGCGTGCCTTGTCTTGCGTGCCTTGTCTTGCGTGCCTCGTCTTGCGTGCCTTGTCTTGCATGCCTTGTCTTGCGTGCCTTGTCTTGCGTGCCTTGTCTTGCGTGCCTTGTCTTGCATGCCTTGTCTTGCGTGCCTTGTCTTGCGTGCCTTGTCTTGCGTGCCTTGTCTTGCGTGCCTCGTCTTGCGTGCCTCGTCTTGCGTGCCTTGTCTTGCGTGCCTTGTCTTGCGTGCCTTGTCTTGCGTGCCTCGCCTTGCATGCCTCGTCTTGCGTGCCTTGTCTTGCGCGCCTTGTCTTGCGTGCCTTGTCTTGCGTGCCTTGTCTTGCGTGCCTTGTCTTGCGTGCCTTGTCTTGCGTGCCTTGTCTTGCGTGCCTTGTCTTGCGTGCCTCGTCTTGAGTGCCTCGTCTTGCGTGCCTTGTCTTGCGTGCCTTGTCTTGCGTGCCTTGTCTTGCGTGCCTTGTCTTGCGTGCCTTGTCTTGCGTGCCTCGTCTTGCGTGCCTCGTCTTGCGTGCCTCATCTTGCGTGCCTTGTCTTGCGTGCCTTGTCTTGCATGCCTTGTCTTGCGTGCCTCGTCTTGCGTGCCTTGTCTTGCGTGCCTTGTCTTGCGTGCCTCGTCTTGCGTGCCTTGTCTTGCGTGCCTTGTCTTGCGTGCCTCGTCTTGCGTGCCTTGTCTTGCGTGCCTTGTCTTGCGTGCCTTGTCTTGCGTGCCTTGTCTTGTGTGCCTCGTCTTGCGTGCCTCGTCTTGCGTGCCTCGCCTTGCGCGCCTTGTCTTGCGTGCCTTGTCTTGCGTGCCTTGTCTTGCGCGCCTTGTCTTGCGTGCCTTGTCTTGCATGCCTTGTCTTGCGTGCCTTGTCTTGCGTGCCTTGTCTTGCGTGCCTTGTCTTGCGTGCCTCGTCTTGCGTGCCTCGTCTTGCGTGCCTTGTCTTGCGTGCCTTGTCTTGCCTGCCTTGTCTTGCGTGCCTCGCCTTGCATGCCTCGTCTTGCGTGCCTTGTCTTGCGCGCCTTGTCTTGCGTGCCTTGTCTTGCGTGCCTTGTCTTGCGTGCCTTGTCTTGCGTGCCTTGTCTTGCGTGCCTTGTCTTGCGTGCCTTGTCTTGCGTGCCTTGTCTTGCGTGCCTCGTCTTGCGTGCCTCGTCTTGCGTGCCTTGTCTTGCGTGCCTTGTCTTGCGTGCCTTGTCTTGCGTGCCTTGTCTTGCGTGCCTTGTCTTGCATGCCTTGTCTTGCGTGCCTTGTCTTGCGTGCCTTGTCTTGCGTGCCTCGTCTTGCGTGCCTCGTCTTGCGTGCCTTGTCTTGCGTGCCTTGTCTTGCGTGCCTTGTCTTGCGTGCCTCGCCTTGCATGCCTCGTCTTGCGTGCCTTGTCTTGCGTGCCTTGTCTTGCGTGCCTTGTCTTGCGTGCCTTGTCTTGCGTGCCTCGTCTTGCGTGCCTCGTCTTGCGTGCCTTGTCTTGCGTGCCTTGTCTTGCCTGCCTTGTCTTGCGTGCCTCGCCTTGCATGCCTCGTCTTGCGTGCCTTGTCTTGCGCGCCTTGTCTTGCGTGCCTTGTCTTGCGTGCCTTGTCTTGCGTGCCTTGTCTTGCGTGCCTTGTCTTGCGTGCCTTGTCTTGCGTGCCTTGTCTTGCGTGCCTTGTCTTGCGTGCCTTGTCTTGCGTGCCTCGTCTTGCGTGCCTTGTCTTGCGTGCCTTGTCTTGCGTGCCTCGTCTTGCGTGCCTTGTCTTGCGTGCCTTGTCTTGCGTGCCTCGTCTTGCGTGCCTTGTCTTGCGTGCCTTGTCTTGCGTGCCTTGTCTTGCGTGCCTTGTCTTGTGTGCCTCGTCTTGCGTGCCTCGTCTTGCGTGCCTTGTCTTGCGTGCCTTGTCTTGCGTGCCTCGTCTTGCGTGCCTCGTCTTGCGTGCCTTGTCTTGCGTGCCTTGTCTTGCGTGCCTTGTCTTGCGTGCCTCGTCTTGCGTGCCTCGTCTTGCGTGCCTTGTCTTGCGTGCCTTGTCTTGCGTGCCTTGTCTTGCGTGCCTCGTCTTGCGTGCCTTGTCTTGCGTGCCTTGTCTTGCGTGCCTCGTCTTGCGTGCCTTGTCTTGCGTGCCTTGTCTTGTGTGCCTCGTCTTGCGTGCCTTGTCTTGCGTGCCTTGTCTTGCGTGCCTCGTCTTGCGTGCCCCATCTTGCATGCCTCGTCTTACGTGCCTCGTCCTGCCCTGTCGTGCCCTGTCTTGCCCCCTCTATCTCAAAGCGTTGATGCCCCATCATCTATCCCATGACCCAACCGTCCCTGATTTCGACCTTCAAGTTATTGCCATCATTGGGACCCATATACCTTACACATGCACCCAGCCTCAACAATCCTCACCCATCCACACCCATCTCCCTGCAGGTGATTGCAGTGATCGACTCGCAGGTCATTCCCATCACTGCGACCCGTATGCCCTTACGCATGCACCCATTCTCACCTATCCGCACCCATCCTTCTTCAGGTCATCGCAGTGATAGACTCGCAGGTCATCCCCATCATCCGCCGCTCTGCCCTCTCAGGCTTTGCCATCTTCAACACCGAGCTCCCGGTCTTCTTCGACCGCCCAGGTATGTGACCTCTTATTTCATCCCCCCCCGAGGCACCTGGTTATGAGGCGCGTCATCAAGAATGGACGCTCTCAGGCTTTGCCATTTTCAACATAGAGCTTCCGGTTTTCTTCAACCCCCCAGGTATGCCGCCCATTGGTTGCATAATGTTCTCTGTACCAAACGCTTGGACCAGAAAGATATGGTTCCTCCTCTTCATCTCTCCTCAAGGCGCCTCAAGAGTTGGCTCAGGTTTCACCGTCTTTTCTTCCTATCCTGATTGCACTGCACGTGCATCTTGGATAATCAGTTCCTACAGTAACATAAATAGATAAAAATGCGTACATTGATTGCATCTTCTCGCGCTCCTTCCTATGCTTGTTCCCTCCTCCCCCACTCGGCTCCTCTCCTCGTGCCCGCAACCCACAGGAGCACCTCAAATGCTGGCGGATATTCTAGCAGAGCGTGGCTACTTTGTGTACTGGCAGGTGCGGTTGTGGGGAGGGTGATGGGTGGCGGGCGATATGACGCGGGTGGTGTGGGGTGGGTGGTGAGGGCCGGGGTGTGTGTGACAGGTGATGTGTGGCGGATGTGGGCGGGTGCATGTGTGTATCAGCAAATTACATGTAGCAGGAGCAGGTACCAGGGAGCATGTCTAGCAGAACTACTTTGTGTACTGGCAAGTGTGGGGATGAGCATTTTCCCTCTTCCCCCTCCCTTTCCCCACCAGACGCGCATTCGAGAGGTCCCAGTGTGAATCGACCCAGTCACCTTCGCCATAGAGTGTCTGCGCCGCACCACCATGGAGCTCCCCCTTCCCCCGTGCTTCCTTCCCCTCCCTCTTCCCCCACCCTCTTCCCTCCACATCAGACGCGCATTCGTGAAGTCCCAGTGCGCATAGACCCATCCACCTTTGCCATAGAGTGTCTGCGCCGCACCACCATGGAGTTCCGCATCAAGTCCTTCCCTTCCCCCTCTCCCTTCCCCCTCTCCCTTCCCCCTCTCCCTTCCCCCTCTCCCTTCCCCCTCTCCCTTCCCCCTCTCCCTTCCCCCCCTTTCCCTCCTCAGACGCGCATTCGGGAGGTGCCAGTGCGCATAGATCCATCCACCTTCGCCATCGAGTGTCTGCGCCGCACCACCATGGAGTTCCGCATCAAGTTCGACCGCCCGCTCATCCGCTCCTCTGACTCCCTCTCCTCCCTCTCCGCCTCCTCCTCCTTCCTCACTGCCACCGCCGCCAAAGCCTCTGCCTCCGCCTCCTCTCCCTCCTACTCCTCCTCTCACTCGCTGCTCACGCTGCAATCAGCCACGTTCCAACCACCGCCAGAGACTAAGGCAAGTGCCATGTGCCCTTCGTTCCCTGGGGGGAATCCGCCCTGCTTTGTGCCGGATAAGGAGTTGAACGGAGGGAGCTCGGAAGAGGATGGGTCGGGTGCGGTGGGTGGGTGTGGGAGTGGTGCGAGCTGTGGCAGTGGTGGTGGGAGTGGCAGCAGCAGTGGCAGTGTCAGTAGCGGGGGCAGTAGCAGTGGCAGTAGCGGTGGCAGTAGTGGTGGCAGTGGCAGCGGTTGTGGCAGCCGCGGTGGGTGTGGAGGGGCCGGCAAGGTGGTGAGAGTGCCGGGGCTGGCAGGGGGTGCGATTTCTCGGCCTGAGGGGTGCCCGGCTCTGCCTCCTTGGGTTCCCACTGGGGAGAAGAGGAGGTGACAGTCAAGATGAGGGGTGATGCAGAGCGATGTGACAGTGCGGGGTGTACGAGTGTGAGTAACTCACATGTTTGTAACATTATACATTACTGGTGGATTGTGGTACTCTGTATGTTAAAATCTGTGCTGTGCCATGCTTGACTGAATCCTGGCTGTGTTGCTAAACCTTCAGTGCAATTCCCAGAAACTAGAAGAATAAGTGAGCAGCCTAGGAACCTGTGTAACAGTAATACGGTTCCCTGTGCTGTGAGTAAAACTGAGAATTGTGAAAGTGTACTTAGGCTGACTTGCAAAGGCAGCGTTATCATTTCATATGGGTAGTAGTACATCGTTCTCGTCTTATATATGTCTACATAGCAGCATACACAAATGGGTGGGCGGGTGGGAAATGAGAACTACAATTTAGAAAATGAAAACGTGGGTGGGGACGAATGTCCCCACGTCCCTCTTTTGTAGGCAAAAGAGGGTGAGCAGCGCTTCGGCGCTACCTTTGCTGTGTTGGCCACGTACCCCTTTTCACAATACAAATTTTTAGTAAGTGTTACATTTCATTACACTTTCAAAAATTATAATTTTGAATGAGCTAATCCTTATGATGGAGGCGTACAAAGAAAATTTATACTATGGTACTAAGTTGATTCGTTCACAAGATCCACCAAGGTGGAGCTTGGTATTTGTACAAGAAGGATATACAATGAGGGGGCACACACAAACACAAAACGTGCAAGCGCCACGCTTGCTTTGCTTGGCTGCATTACGAAGAGGCACTCTGCACAAAGCAGACTAGGTACTGCTTTGTGCTAAGTAAGCATAGGGAGGAATCACACACAGCAGCACAGCACCAGTTGGGTGCGGTACGCAGGAGCTGGGTGCGGTGCAGTTAGAAGACATCTGGGTGAAAGCGGTTGGGGATGGTCCCTGTGCCTTGTGCCTTCTGGAGGTGCAAGCTGAGGGCATAGTTGCTCACCTGCCATGCACAGCACCAGCAGCAACCCACCACCCCCGCACACCCCATTGCACCCATGCCACGCAATGCCAAACCATGCCATGCCATGCCAAACCATGCCATGCCATGCCAAACCATGCCATATCATGCCACAAACACAATGACATCGCATCCCGCCCAAACCGTCACAAAAAGCCCCCCGGAGAGAAGGATGAGATACAGACAGATATAACACCTGCATTAGACTTGAGACCTTACCGCCAGCATCCACGGCTGATCCTGGCGATGCGGCAGTGCCAGCCTGACCAGCGCCAGATGCTTTGGAGATTAAGAACTCACCTCCAGCTTCCGCATCTGGTCCTGGTACTGCGCCAGCGTTTGCCGCATCTGCACAAGCTCCCCCTCCCTCGCCTCGTGCTCCCGCTGCCTCTCATGTTGAATCGCCACCGCTCGCTTCAAGATCTGATTCTCCTTCACCAGCGCTGCCACGTGGTGCTCCACGTGTGCCCCCGCTGAAACGCCATTGGCGGCTACCTGGAGAGTGAATGGCGGAGGGATGGAGTGGATGGGACGTCATTAGACGTCTTGAGCATTGTGAGTGTGAGAACGTGGCTTCAACTCGTCGCAGCAGCAGCAGCAGCAGCAGCAGCAGCGGACACGCATGCATGTCTTGATTTCAAAATGCCACAACTCGTAAGGTATGCCAACAGTCCCACACACCTGCGGGACAATGGCAGCGGCACTGGCAGCAGCAGCGGCTTCACATCGTTTCCGCACCTCCTTCTCAAACTGCTCCAAAACCATGGCTGCTTTCAGCCTGACGTCATCAACGTCCACTGCTGACATCATCTCCCGCACCACCAGTTCTACCCACTCTGCACCACTCGACGGAATCCCATCGCCTTCCCCTCCTCCACCTCCTGCTGCTGCTGCAGCTGCTCCTGCTGCGGCTGTCGATTCTAATGCGGGCACGGGACCAGCTTGACCTGGCAGCGGCTCCTGTAGAGGTTGCGCTTGGCCTGTTGTCGGCGAATGTTGATCCGCCTGCTCCGAGACTGAGAGATGACACGAATTAGATAAAACGGATGAGTTGAAACGGAATGGAACGGATGAAATGAAACGGGAATCTGAAAGATAGTAACAAAAGAATGGCATTCGCGTCGTTAACGTGCACAATAAATAAGGAAAAATAAGCAGACATGCAATGACATGAGAGCGAACGAGGAGGTCCACGTGCACATTCTTACAAAGGCACACACATCAAGGCACCCACCGCGAGCTGCGGCGGGATCAGCGGAATGTTGAAGCTGAACGTGTGATAGCGCGGCGTTATCCGCGGCGATGATTCGCAAACCCTTGAGCGACTGGATGGCGGAGTCGATGTCGTGATTGCACGCTTCCAACACCTGGTGAACGACCTGCGACGCGACCGCGAGGAGAAAATATTTAAAATACGGGATGGTGGTGAGAAGAAGAGTTTTTGTGCTCGTTACTGCAGTCAGGCTGAGGCGACGACATTAGCGCGAGAAAGGCGAATTCGCGAAACAGGTGAAAGGAGAAAACAGACCCATAAGAGCCAACACAGGTATCTGCTCTTTTTCTTGACAAATAAAAGCACTGGAAGAAAAAAAGTATCTGCTCACCTGCTCCTCCACGCCGAACATGCTTCGCAGCAGCACCACTTTTTCCGCCAACGACCCTCCGCGGATTCCGACGCTGATTCCTGCCGGGTCTTCAACCCACGCGCAGCGCGACGGCGACGACGGTTGCAACCAGCGACCTCGCTTGGAAACGGGCGGCAGAGCGACGTAGATGCTGTCGTCGAACGCGGACCGGCTTGCAGGATGAAAGACCTCAACGGTGCTCTCCTCGAACGCTGACCGCTTACCGCAGACGATCGCCGACATCGCGACTGACGTCCGTCAGGCGTGAGTTGACGGCGAAAGGAGCCTCGCCGGCTCCCTCCACCCCCTCTCTGCCACTGTCTGAAATGTTATTGGGACCAGATATCCAAAGTGTAACCAGTAAGTGAAGTCTACCACTCGAGGCCAGGGCTTCAAGGTATGTTGTAAGAATGATACAGTAACAGCGTTGAGACACGGGACTGGCAGGCTATATCTACTGGAGAAACCAGGTACTTATCAACAAAATACTACTCGAGCAGCAATCATGCAAGAATCCACCTCAGAGCCCGAATCCACCTCGCCGTTGAGCTAAGCACTAAATGGTACGGCAAGGACCTGCCAGCGCAGCCAAACTGCCAGACAACTAGGGAACGCAGGAATTGTTTCGGAGTTTCGTGTGTTGTGTCGAATGGGGAGGAATCTAGGGTTTCAGCTTATGGCTGCCGCGTTTTTGGCAGGAGACCGCTGCTGGTGGGGAAGAGGATGAAGGCGAAGTTGGGGAAGACGAGCCTTGGGAGTGTCATTTGTACGTGGTATGCATTCTAACTAAACCGTTCAAGGTTGGTTTAGAATGCGGTTAGTGCAGTTTCTGGGTAGACATATGGCGTTCTGATTCGGTACTTCATGGTAGCTCCCTTGATCGGTGAGAAATGATGTGCGACTTCCCGAATCACGAAATTGCTCCCATTGGACCAAGTCGGCGTCGTTTGCGGCTAGAGACTGGGCTGGACGATGGATGTATGGACCATTGAACTGGTGGGCGACTACGCTCCTGTGCGACCTGCGCATTTCGTCGCAAGCTAATCGCATGATGTGCGCCGGGGCCAATCAGTGAGCATGCTCATGGTCGCTTTTGTGGGACCTCCCGCCGAACCTATCTTGGGCTGTGCGCTCCGCTTTGCGCAGTGCTGTGCGCAGCGCTCCGCGCGCTCTGTGCTCTGCAAAACCTGCCAAAGCCCGCGTGTTCGCCGCGGAAGCAGCGCAAACCGGATTTGACGAACCATTCACGAAGTCGGTGGTGGTCCCACATCCTTCGCCCCATCCGCACATCATCAACTCTTCACCAAGTTCTCCAAACCCAAGGTCCAACACACATCCTACCACCAGTCATGTCCCCCAAGAGCCCCAACCCAGGCGCAGACAGCCAATGTCTCCCTTGCATCAACGCCCGGCGCGTCCTAATTCTCATAGAGCCGCCGCGTAGCCGTTGATGTTAGCGCCAACTCCAATGACTCATTGAAAAGGAATGCGACTCGAAACTGAGACGCCTTGGAGTCAGTCCAATGAATGATGTTGATCCTCGCTTTTCCGTTCCCTTGTTTTCCTCTACTACCGTGTAGTCAGTTTGCTAAAGGTCGTAGATCCGTGGCTAGGCAATGATATATAGCAACGTTTCATTCTTGCCTCGCACATTCTCCTAGCTTCATGATTTCAACAAAGAGTTTCTTCGTTACGGTTCACATCAATCTCCAAGCTCAGTATGTGCTAGATCTGCTCGTGTGCAACTAGACCTCTACCGGTGCAAGCTTGGAGGTTCCGACCATGTTTCGCAAGCTGCTCTAGCATGAACGAGCATTCCAAGGTCAGCCCACATGTTTCCCTTCAAACGTTTCATTCGACTTGAGCGTGCCGTTTTAATCGGTTTGCACAACCAACTTGTACTCATTCGCGTTTTTTACCTTTGTGCAGTGGAATGAAGACATTCAAGACCCGCGGTTGGCATCATTCAAGCCATCGGACCCCCGATCTGCACTCATCTCGGCGCTGGCGGCACGTCCATCCGACTTTCCTCTGGGCTACGTTCAACACCGATCATCCTTCTTTCCAGCTAAGTACTCACTTCATCCTCATCGTGTCAGCAATCCGTTTTTTCATCCGTTATGGTTGTTTGTTTTTCAGCCAAATATCCGCCCGTAGAGCTCCCTGTCTCTTCCCCTAGGTCTGGGTTAGTTTCTCTCTAGGTCTGCCTGGTGTCAGCGTCGCTAAGTCGTGGGTAGATGCCTCCGTCAGTCTGAGCTCTACGGTGCGTTTTTTGGCTGGAATACCCCCTCCCTCCCACATGCTTCGTCGCATCCAATCGTTTATCGCATCCTTCCGTTACTGTAAACTTAAGACGTCTTCGTATCTTCGTTTTGCTGGCAGGTTTCCGGTTACGATGGTTCAATCGCCTGGGAGAAGCAAGGCCGCAGCACCCCGGGTTTCAACATCTTAAGACCAAGGCTCGAAGCCAGTCGTCCAAGCCAAGACACCAAGCCAAGGCGTCAACCAACAATCAGGATCTGAACTTCGATTTCATATAAGTATCAATCTTTCCTCGGTTCTCCCAACTTCATTTTCCGCACATCGTTTCTGTAAATGTTTTCTTGTCATGCTGGAGCGCTTACCACAATTGCTATAGGAGCCATTCCCCTTAGGTTTTTTATCAGGTACTCTCTCTGGTGAGTTCTTCAGGTCTCTCTTGGTATTTCTGGTACTTGGCTCTTACAGCAATGGTGTTAAGCGCTTTTGCATTTTGTTCCTACGTACCTGTAGCACCCGTCATGCACATGCCTACTTTTCTTGCTCGTTTGGACTTTCCACGACTGCATGTACTCACCCGCTCTCCCTCCTCTGTCTTTCAATGGCAGATGCTCTACTTTCTTGGACACCATCAGGAGCAACACTGCGCTCATCACGTCAATGCTACGGGATTACCTTCAAGCCATCATCTAAGAGATATCCTGGAGCCAACCATGAAGCAGCAGAGTCAACTTCAAGCATTTGAAGGCACATTTGGAGCGAGCACATCTGAAGATAAGTATCTCTCGAGCCTCTGGTATTCATGTTTTTTCTTTTTGTTTCTCTGCTATTTTCGAGCTTTCACACATTCCATCATTTTATGCACCTTCTCATGCATGTATGCATGAGCGCTACCCACCGTCACCGCATGAGCCATTCCCCCTTAGCTGGTCAGGTATTTGGTATAAGGTACTCTTCTCTGGTGAGATCCTCAGGTCTCTTGAGGTATTCTGGTACTTGGCTCATGTGGATGTGGTGGTAAGCGCCCATGCATTTATGCTACCTCATCCTTCCACATCATGCACATGATACATACCTAGATTCTTCATGGAGCTCCTAGTGCCACTTGTACTAACATTTTATTCCCAAACCTTTTTTTTTTTGGCAGGCCTTCTTCTCAACGCTGCGCAGTCAAAACAAGAGAGCGTACCTGGCAACCATTGAAGAAAGATTTACCACCGCAGCCATTGAAGAAGGGTTTAAAACCCAGTTTCTTCCAAGATTTCAAGCCTTGGGATCTAAGGTAAGGCTCTCAACTTTCAGTGGTTAGGTGTTCAACTTTTTTACTTTGACTGGCTACTTCTTTCCAGTTTTTTTTGCTTTCTTTCCACAGGTACCTCACTACTCAAACTCTTCAACAGCCCGTTCCATCTTGAGACACTCAGTAATCAAGCATCCCAACACCCAAGGCCCCCAAGGTAACATTCTTGGCTTGACTTGTTCCTTGCTCGTTTTTCGTTTCAACCTTGACTGACTTGTTTTCTTTTGCAGGTGCCTCACCACTCAAGCCCTTTCAACAGCCACTTGCCTCTCAAGTCCTTCAACAATTTAACAACCAACACCCAAACCCCCCAAGGTAATGCTCTTGACTTGACTTGTTCCTTGCTCGTTTTTCGTTTCAACCTTGACTGACTTTTCCTTTGTTTTCTTTTTGCAGGTGTTTCGCCATTCAAGCCCTTCAACAGCCACTTCCATCTCAAGACCTTTAACAATTAAACATCCCAACACCCAAGGCCCCAAGGTAATGTCATTGACTATACTTGTTTCTTGCTCGTTTTTTTTTTTTTTTTTTCAACCTTGACTGACTTCTCGTTTTCGTTTTGCAGGTGTTTTAACATTCAAGCCCTTCAACAGTTACTCTCATCTCAAAGCCTTTAACAATTAAACATCCCAACGCCCAAGACCCCAAGGTAATGTTATTGACTTTACTTGTTTCTTGTTCGTTTTTTGTTTCAACCTTGACTGACGTCTCCTTGTTTTCTTTTTGCAGGTGCCTCATCACTAAAGCCTTTCCAAGAGCCTCTTGCCTCTCAAAACCTTCAACAATCGGGGTCACATCCCAACATCCAAGGCCCCCAAGGTAGCGCTCTTAACTTCTTGAATTGCTTTTTGTTAGTTTTTTCGTTCTAACCTTGACTAACGTCCCTTATTTCCTTTCCGCCGTTACGTCACCACTGGAGCCCTTCAATGGTCACTCTTCCCTCAAGATCTTCAACAAGTCAAGCATCTCAACATTCAAGGCCACCAAGGTAGTGATTTCAACCTCCAGCTTTTTTATTTCTTCCGCACCCAGACTGACATTCGTTTTTTCACCCTGCAGGTATTTCAGCAGTGGAGGTTATCGACCAACAGTATCCACTCAAAGCTCTCACCATCCTTTTTACGAAGGTACATATGTTAACTTCCAGCTTTTTCTTACTGCTTTTACCAAGGTACTGACCTTGCCTCTTGTCTCC